AGACAGACAGCAATTATTTATTTATTTAAAAAGCAAGAGAGACAGATATATATGTATAATTATATACATATATATATAAATATATATATATATATATATATATATATATATCTTTATTTGCTTTCTTTATATATCTCTAATCATCTACACCCATATAAAAAAATAAATAAATAAATATACATATACATAGACATATACGTATATTTATTTATATTTATTTATATTTATATTTATTTATTTATTTATTAAATGCTGATAAAATAAACTTATTTATCTTACCTTCTGATTTAATAGGGTCTGGCGACAAACAATTATCACAGAGAGCTTCGCATGCATCTCTCAGCGCCTCTGCTCTGCTCTTCTTAGAACTGCTTAAGTGAGAACGCACAAAGTCTACCGCCTCCTGAACAATAAACCCTAAACCCTAAACCCTAAACCCTAAACCCTAAACCCTAAACCCTAAACCCTAAACCTTAAACTGTAGGGGTTGTTGGTTTGTGCGTTGAGGGCACACATTCAAACTTTTTTACGACTCATGTGCATTGTTATGTACAGTGACTCTAAACCCTAAACCCTAAACCCTAAACCCTAAACCCTAAGACCCTAAAACCCTAAACCCTAAGACCCTAAACCCTAAACCCTAAACCCTAAGACCCTAAGACCCTAAACCCCAAAACAATAAAATCCTACTACTACTTCTGTGGACTGTTATATATACTGACTCTAAACCCTAAACCCTAAACCCTAAACCCTAAACCCTAAACCCTAAACCCTAAACCCTAAACCCAGAAGTTTACCTGATTTGTCTTGCAATCCCAGATGCCGTCGCATGCAATAATAAGAAATTCATCGTCTTTGTGAACGGGCGTTACCCTGCAGGAAAACAAAATAAATAAACATAAAATATTAATTAAATAAATAAACAAATAAATAAATAACAAATATTAATTTAATATATAAATAAATAAATAAATAAATATATTTAATAATCTGTCGTAAAAAGTATTTCCTTACAACTTCTAAAGAAATGCATTATCATCTGCTTTATATATACACCTATAACTAACTAACTAAATAAATAAATAAATATATATATATATATAAACATATATATATCTTTACGTAGATAAATAAATAATAAATAAATAAATATATTTATCAAACATCAATAACTCTGTCTGAAGTAATTAATATGATTATCTGTTTAATATATACACCTACACCTAAATAAACACATAAACATAATAAATAAATAAATATAAAAAATAAATATAAATAAATAAATAAAAATAAATAAATATATATATATATATATATATAGATATATAGATATGTAGATCTTTGAGTAGGTAAGAAGATAAAGAATAAATAAATAAATAAATAATAAAGACAGTCTTACCGGACATCCGGGAAGGACGTAATTCTTTGTTTTTCAGGCGGGATATGTGCATCCGATTTATAAAATAAGTCTCCTAAAGACCTCGATAAATTTAGATTGCCGTCCACTCTACCGTTCATTACACAGCCTCCAGCTGCTGCTATTCTTGCTCGTTCTGCTGGGTTCATAGGTTTATGATCATGCGATAAAGGATATGCCTGCAAATAAATAAATTAATTAATATATTTATTTATTTATTTATTTATTTATTTATTATTTATTATTTAATTCATCTGTTTATTTATTTAGTTGGTGTTATATTAGGAAAAGAAATATACAAATGGGTAGCAGCATGTATATAATATATATATGTATATTATATGCATCTATTAATCTATATATATAATTATATATATTATTATATATATATGCGTAGTGCAGCAACAAATAGAAACACCAGCATCACCACAGAGCAGCAGAGAGCAGCAGCAAGAAGCAGCAGCAGGAGGAGGAAGCAGCAGCAACAGCAGCAGCAGCAGCAGCAGCAGCAGCAGCAGCAGCAGCAGCAGCAGCAG